ACACTTATATCATATTATTATCTTGTTGTTAGTCATAAACTCCAGTTCTTTTGTATTTTTTATTGTATGTTATCTTGCCTAGTAAGCGGTGTTAGGCGCCATCACGACCTTGATTGATTCAGATTTTGGGTCATGGCAAATTCATAAAAGGTATTAGATCTTGTACCAATATATGCTATACCATTGCTAATGTACCATAAACACTTACCTTGATGTGTATTCATGATAGAAGAGCTCCTATTTTCTCTAAAAATCAATTCCAAGTTCAAAACCTAAGTTATTCTATCTAAACCCACGCTTCAGCTCCTTTTTAAAAAGAACTAGAGGTCGCGTAGGTTGAGGGATTACCCACGTATCCTATGCCCAAGTTGATCATTTTATTTTGTATCAAATCGGGAAGCCACTGGTTTTGGTTATGCATAGCCGCATAGCCTACATCACACTACAACATTTAAGGGCTCCAACCACCCCTGAAAAATGTAGCCTAAGATGTCAAGAAGTGTAGCATTAGATCAAAGGCAACACTTTAAGACTTTAGGCTACGCTTCTAGGGGGGTGTCCTAAAGTACCGTAACCTTTGACTTATGGCCACGCTTTTTACATGTTGTCGTAGGATCCACGCTTCAAAAGTGTGGTCGATGCACTTAAAAAGCTACACTTTATATTTCCTCTATAGCCACACTTTTATGATGTAGAGCTACAATTTTGAAGTGTGGTCTTTGTTGCTTTATAGACCACACTTTTAGAGCGTGGCTTCTAAAGCAACAGTGATCAAGCATGGCATCAAATTTCCAGTCTCTATGGTCACATTTTCTAAGCGTGGCAATTGTCTACAGTATGAAATAATTTTTAAAATATTTATATTTGCCACAATTGTGTGGTTAAGAAATTATTTTTTCACATTTATTTCAAGTATATACATTATGATCTCAAGTATCAAATTAATTAATAAGTAACAGAATAAAAATAATTTAAATGCATATACTTGAAATAAACTTCAACAAAAAACATAATCTGCATAGTACTATACCCATACTAATAAAGCACTACCACTTCAAGAAGTTCACTAGAAATATTCAAAACCGAATGTATTTATAACAATAAACGTCACAATCGTTCAAAAAATCTTCATCATTCGCGTCAATAGGTCAAATTCATTTGTGGCCACCATTTCCAATTGCATCATCTATATTTTCCTACACAATCAAAATGAAATTAAAAATTAGAAAAAAAACTATATATAGTATGCATTGATATAACAACATGTCTTATTAATAATTAATGAGGTTTATTTCACTGTTAAAGCATAACTAAGTCAAACACAGAAAAAGAGGTGCAAGCCAAAGAGAAGAAAAAACGTGAATTAATAACCTGCTTACATCCCAATATCTCAGAAAGTTTTGCCTAGATTGACAACCCCAATAGACAGTTAAGAATATTGTTTTTCCGCACAAAAAAAAAAAGTTGTTCATTTTCTTCCCTTCTTAGGACCAGTGGGTATAAGGGAAAAAAACTACTGTATGCTAGCATTTTAGCTCCAAAAAGTTGGGATAAAGTTTATGTTTTGGTGGATTTAAACTTATTAAGAACAAAAAGGGATTTGATATTAACTTCTCTGTCATGCCAGTGATAAAGTTATTGATTTTTAAGAGGTAAGAGCTTTATTTTTTAGAGTAAAACCTAACGATTTAGACCATTAAACTTCCTGAGGCTTCACCATACATACCCTTTAAAAGAAGATCATTCAAGGAAACTTCTTGAACTCATTCTTGACCAAATGGATAGAACAAAAAGAACAATGATTTTTTAAAGAGTGTCAGCAGCTATCATTGCATAAGGATTGTTGGAAGCAATGAAATGAAAAGATAGCAATGGAATAGCAAAAAGAGTAACAAATTTATCGATCCATGAACATTGATCTAGGGTGAAGATTTTTCACCATTTTACTGAACTATAAGCTAAGATCATTGCTATATGCAATGGAACTACAACAGTGGGAATATTGCAAAGGTCTGAAAGTGATATCATTTTTTTCTTAACAGATGAACCTCAGTAAAAAGACTCAAAATTTATGGGAAATGAGAGAGGTGATATGATATATTTATGAGAATTAAAAGGCAGACATAGAAGTAAAAGCAAAAGAATAGAGAGTATGATATAATTTATGCTCAAAACTTAAAAGACATATTAGAGGTGACAAATGTAGAAAACCAAAAGCTAAGTATCAAAAAATCTTTTCATGAAGAAATAAAAGACATTGTTAAGAGTCTTTGTAAATCCCAATTAAAATAATACAATTGCATGATATGTATGTTAAAGTTAAAATTGTGTATTTATAAGATTTGTAAGTCATATTCATGAACCGCTTTTATCCGTAGTGAGTTGATACTTCTCTAATGACGTTCTAACAAGTCAATACAGGAAAAAAGTAAAATACATTTAAAGTATAGGTTCAAAGACAAAAAAATTATCTCCTTGTATAATCGCAACAATCACTTAAATTAATAACAATAGCAATTAAACTCGCTAGAAAATAGACAGATAGCAAGGGCCTTCCACTGAAACACTAACATGTTTCAGGGGAAAATATCTAATTAAGAGAAAGTATATTGATAGTAGATATCAAACAGAAGCTCGCTAACAAAAATTGAATTCTTTCCATAACCAAATACCTTAACTAGATCGTGTTTCACTGAAAAGAGCTAATAGTTTCGTGTGGTAAAATTTGGCACCAACTGATGCTTTGTTAACAATGAATCACGTGTCTTTTTCTTTTAACAAGAGGAAAATAAACTTATTTTGCAGCCATTATTATTGCCACTAAATCGAATATTTATTGCCGCTAAAATTCTTTTTGTATTAGCATTATCATATAACAGAACCATCAAAAGCAAATAATTTGGGAAAACATGATTTTGTAAGTTAAGATTGTGGTAGTTTTTTGGAAGTGTGAAATATAAATACCTTTTCAAGATTCGGAGCATGAGTTGAGCCAGAAGAATGTGGTAGATTTTGGCCTTTTATAGCTCGTGCACTACTTGCATCAACCGGTGAAGGAATATTAGATCCAGCACACCCTTGTATATCATAAAAATTCAGTTCATGGTTGTTTTGCACCACTTGACTAAGAAAATATCGCATTTCTTCTCTCAACATTTCCTTCATTTCTTCTTTCAGAGAAGTCATTTCATTGGCATGCTTTTGTTTAAGCTTGGTGATTTCTTCAACTTTTTTCAGAAAGCTTATCGTCACAGATCTATCATAGCTTCTAACCCGACCAGGGTGCTCCTTTCCAAACACAGCCCTAAATGCATCATCTGCGGTTTCTCCGGAACTTTGACAATTCTGAAGTTCAGACTGTGAAAAAAAAAATATTACTACACATCACTTACAAGTCAAGATAGATTGAATACTAAAATAACTTAAACTAACTTTTATTTTTCCTACAAAATACATGAAATATTTTCAGTGGTTGTTGTAAATGAATGCTACACTGGAAGCTGTTAAATTTGGATTACGTGCAATTGCAGCCTAGTCTTGTAAAAAATTATACATTGTGCACATATCTCCAATCTTGTGTGAAACCCATGTACTTAGAGCTATTCCTCCATAATCAAATTGGTTAAACTGAACTGTGACCAACTTTCTATTAGATGTAACAACATTCCATGGTATACCCTTAGGATATACCATTTCTTTGACATTTCTATCAGGACTTTTAACAATTTCAGACATGGGACAATCAAATCGAGCCTTAAAAAAATCAGCACCTATATCGTTGCATTCGACATGAACATTATCTCTTAATGTTCTAGCAAAAGGATAGTATGCAGAACATTATCTCTTAATGTTCCAGCAAAAGTATAGTATGCAGCTAAGGTTTTTGAAAGGGAATTCTCAATAACCTTACACATATCACTTGCAAGTAAGCTAACATGAAAAAGTAATACAAGATGGAGTTATGTCCTAATGAAACTACAATTTCACTAATTTGTCATTCAAATAGTATAAGATATAAGCACCAGACACATATACAAAATTGCATTTATTAGAAATACATGGTTTTAATTAAAAAGCTAAAACTTTAACAGACACACATTCAGTTAACGAGAGGGGCTATATAATAACAAGATCTTAACTTTTATCATGACTTACTATTGCAACTTGAGTATCTGTATGAACTTCTTTTTCTTTCTTTGTACGAGTTGCAATAAATATTTCGGACTTTGATAGTTCCTCGTTGTTCTCTTTGGTTGAACGCTACAAATTAAATCAAAAGAAAGTAAAAAATAAACATTAGTGTGTTCCGACAAAGAAAATGGAAGTCAAAATTTTCATAAATTGTCGAGTAAATGCTAACAATGCTACGCGTATTCTTCCAAAATTAATAGGTCCCATTCGATGCCTCCACTTTTGTTTTTTTTCTGTTTTCACAATTTAATTGGCACATGGCCTAGCACCAAAAGAAGTACATTAGTCAATAAATCAAAAAGAAAAAAAATATAATGCAACAATATGTTCAAGTGTAGAAATGCACAATTTAATCTCACTTGGACATCTGAATCCTTCCAATACTCAATCAATTGGCAGAATTGAACTTCTGGTATCTCATTCGGACGATTTTGTAGCATATATTCATCAGTAGCATTCTTATTGAAATAATTCATCTTAATATTTCTCTTGTGTCGCCTCCAAGCATCACGAAGACCAGTCATTACCTATTTCTCTCCTTCTGCTGGAATTATGAATTTGGACTATGCAAAATAACGTATATTTATCTTCACTTAGTAGGAAATATACAAAAAAGTATACATTTAAAAAATTGATTGTTCTTACGTTGACATATTCCCACATTCGTTGCTTACTATCTTGTGACACAGCATGCCAACTAGTATGCGCCAAGGTGATAAATCTTGGATTTCTTGCAATTGTTCCTATAAAGTTAGTCAAATCAGACACTCTCTTATTAGTTGGTCCCACTGCTTGTCCTTTGTCAAATGTCACCTCCTCTCTTTCTTCAGAACTTCTTGCATGAATATTCTTACATGTCGTTTGCCCTCGAACTCTTTTCTTCTCTGATAGTATTTCTTATTGAAGTAGACATAAGTAAGGCCATAAATATCCTCTTCAACCTCATACCAGTCACACTTAAATAATAAAACCTTAAAATGGCCATAGTAGTCTAACTCAACTATATCAATTATTCTGCCATAATAAGTCAAATTTTCATCAACTAGATTTTTATCCTTTGAGCTTGCAAAGCTTGTCGTTAGGGCATCTAATGTAACACCACTATTTTGCGTTTTACGCTTTGCATCACGCTGCCTCGTATGGAATCTATATCCATTAATGAGATAACCATAATATCTTTTGGCAATTGAATTTGGTCCTATGGATAAATGTTTTATCAGATCGGACACATCCTCATGCAATACACGAGTTTCAAACCATTGAGAGAAGTTTTGACTATGATTTTTGGCCTTGCTCCATCTAGATCCTCGCCTATGATTATTAACCTCCACCTCATGTTCTCTACAGAACAATAATTTTTATTTGTTAGAAAAAGATAAATAAAACAATTTTAGAATTATCTACGTAAAAGAAAATACTACAAGTGAACAAAATTACCTGATATATTCTTGAACTTCATCACAATTATTCAATACGTATGCATGTGCCTGGCATAGTGACTTGCCATCTAAAACAATTGGATCACTCTTTTTGGCTCCTAAAGGGAAGCATCTTTTAGGGAACAAACTGAAAGTTTGTGTATCATAACCACATTCATCATTATTTCGGGGTCTTCTATTAAATCTGGTTTGCACACCCCCATGTAAGTATCTAGAGCACAAAGTCAAACACTCTTCAACCAAGTATGCTTCAGCAATAGATCCTTCTGGATGATTTTTGTTGCGAACATATGATTTTAACGTGCACATATATCTTTCAGGAGGATACATCCATCGATTCTGAACGAGACCTCCTAATCTTACTTCATTTGCCAAATGAATAGGCAAATGAATCATTATATCAAAAAATGTTGGAGGAAAAAATCGCTCCAATTGATTCAATGTTTCTCTAATATCTATCTCCAAACAATTTAGATCTTCTAGTGTGATAACGTTTTGACTTAAACGGCGGAAGAAGGAGCTTAGACGAATCAAAGGAATAGCAACATGACCAGGAAAGATGCTTTTAATTGGTATTGGCAACAAGTAATGTAACATGAAATGGGCATCATGCGTCTTATAACCAGATAATTTTCTTTCGTCTAGTTGCACACACCTAGATATATTGGAAGCACTACCATCAGGTAGCTTTGTTGTCTTTAGAACACCACAAAAAACTGATTTCTCTCCATTAGCCATTGAGAAGCACGCTTTTGCATGCTTTGTTCTCTTGCCATCCTTTGTATCTTTTGGTTGAAGGTTCTTTCTAATGCCCATCTCTTTTAGATTATAACGAGCATTTACATGATCTTTTGTCTTGCCAGGAATATCCAAAAGAGTTCCAATTACGTTATCAACTATATTTTTCTCTATATGCATTACGTCAAGATTATGACATAATGAATTGTGCTGCAAATAAGGTAATTCAAAAAAAATTGACTTTTTCTTCCATGGGCCATCATTTGTTCTCTTCCTCTTTTTCCCAAAGACATTATTAATAATTTGTAAGTCATTAAGCACATCAGTTCCCTTTAACAAAGGCGGAGGAGGCTTAAATTCTGTTTTCCCATTGAAAGACCTTTTGTTGGATCTCCATGGATGATCCATTGGTAGAAAAACATGATGATCCATATAACACATTTTTCGACTATGTTTAAGATAGCGAGAATTAGTGCCATAATTACAATAAGGGCAAGCCAACTTCCCTTTTGAACTCCAACCAGATAACATAGCATATGCAGGGAAGTCACTAATTGTCCACAAAAGAGCTGCTCGCATTTGAAAGGTTTGATTTCTTGAAGCATCATATGTTTCAACCCCAGACTCCCACAACACGTTTAACTTTTCTATTAATGGTTGTAAATAAATATCAATGTCATTTACAGGTGACCGCGGCCTAGGTATAAGCAAAGAAAGCATACAATATTCTGGCTTCATGCACATCCAAGGAGGCAAATTATACACCATTAAGATAACTAGCCATGTGCTATGAGATATTCTCATGGTTCGAAATGGATTGAACCCATCACTTGCCAAGCCAAGTCTCAAATTGCGAGAATCTCTTGCAAAATTCAGATGAAAACTATCAAAGTCTTTCCATGCTTGGGCATCAGCAGGATGCCTTAACTTTCCATCTTTAGAACGCTCCACGTCATGCCACCTTAATGTTTCCGCTGTCTTTGAGCACATGAATAGCCTTTTGAGTTTAGGAATTAATGGAAAGTGTCTCAAAGTTTTTGCTGAAACGCGATGAGCTTTTTTAGAACACTCAACCTCACTATCTGCTTTAGGATATTTAATATATCTGGAAGCTCCACAAACATGACCATATTCATCAGCCTTATGTTCATTCCTAATTAGCATGCAATCATTAGGACATGCATCGATTTTTTCATAATCAAGACCGAGATCCTTAACCATAGACCTGGCATTATATTAGGATAAAGGAATGTTCAAATCGGGCATCGCCTCTTTCAATAACTCTAAAAGAGAAGTGAATGACGCATTTCTCCATCCATGTAGACACTTCAACAAATATAGACGAATTGTGAATGATAATCTAGAGAATCCTTTACAACCAGGATAGAGTTCTTGGCTTGCCTCATCAACTAAGTTATAGAATTTATTGGCATCTTCATTTGGACCTTCATAAAGTCCTTCGGCTTGTGAAATATCTCTAAATTGATCATTCAATAACCCATTAATATCATCATACGAGTTAGTTTCATCACTCATGTCACCATCAACATTCATAAGGATTTCCCATTCCCCGTGATTAATCCATCTTGTATAACCTTGAACAAATCCATAGCATATTAGATGATCATATATTACATTCCTTTGAGTCCAACGAATATTGCAACACTTTGCACATGGGCATTGAATTTCCTCGCCTTGAGGATCTCCATAAAGGTAAGCAAATTCTAAGAAAGATTGTACCCCATCAATATACTCTTTGATATACCTTGGTAAATCCATCCAATTCTTGGATGGAACATTTGAAACCCTAAAAATCAGATATTAATATCAAATCATAAAATATATAATCATTTAAGTATTATATATACATTACAAATAAATCCTAAAAGTCATGAGTAAGTTTTCAAAATCATATATAATGAAAGATGATAAGAATATCTTACCTAGTCATGACACTTATGTTAAGCCAAACCCAACTTCAAATATAGATCTTCGTGAGCGTTGACTTTTGTTCTTGAAGAAAAAAAGTAAAATTAATAGGATTCATACAACAAGAAGATAAATCAACAAGATATTCTTTTGGTAGGGATATAGGATATTACTCAACTGAATAAATACTTATTAGTCCAAAGCTCACATGTTAAATTGACTTCTTTGAGAATCAAGATNAGTCTAGGATCATTTAGGGTTTCTATTTGGTTGTAATGTAGGATAAAAAAAAAAAAAAAAAAAAAAAAAACCAGAAAGTGAGAAAACACTAGTATCAAATTCCTATTTAGCAATATTCATATTTCAGGAAGTGATCAAATAGAAGTGTCAAATTCCTTTTTGCCAATATTCTTGTTAACGTCTTCAAAAAAATCTCAAACAAGAGAACCAACTTGAGTTAATAATCATTATCTCTAAAACTCAATAAGAAAACTTCTATAAATTGCAAATTATATACTATTATGCAGTATACACTTCCTGTATCAATGGTTGGTTATACACCCAAGTTTTCATTACAATGGAGAAAGACCATTAACAAGAACGGGAAAGAACATCATGGAGGAGGTTACGACAATGTGAGAAAAACTGGAGTTATCCATACATCACTGTCAATACAAGAAGGATGAAAGTCCAAACTTACAACATGAACATCGAGACTGTGCAACCCTCATTGGTGTTTATGTCCAGATACAGAGGTCATCACGGGTACAGTGAAACAAATAGGCAATTATATGTACATGACGGGTAACCAAAAGTTCTGGAACAGAAACTTTTTTTGGAATACCAAAACTTTAAGATGGGAATTTGGCAAGGTACTATAGTTTGAAGACAACTGATAAAAGTAGTGAATGCTATTAGCAAGGAAATCCAAATACATCCAAGTACTTCAATATAATAAGAATTCGATTCATACAATGGTTTGTCAACTTAAAGGGAATCCAATCGGCTACAGGAGGAAACAACAGGCCAGGACACTGAATTTTGTGTGCGATGCCAACTGTTTGTACTCTATTTTGGACAACAGAGGCTCTATCACCAAGCTAATTGAGTACATTCACGAAGATGGAATCTCAACAAAAATAACAAAAGCATGGAACCAACTCAGATACATGACAATCACTACATAAATACATTCGACGTATACTACTTGGTTAGATCAAATTGTACGACTAAGTTTGAGTATCACTAACTCAAATTTGGTTAGAGGAAATATGTATTACTCTTACCCAATGGGATCAAAAGCACTTTGCCTAGTGAAATTTAAAAAAAAATAAAAAAATTAGAGACTTTTTCATGAGATGGGTTTTATCTAAATTAAGTTTGTAGAGGCTTGTTCAGTTCTTTCTTTCTTGGAATTAGAAAATTAAAGAAAACAGAGATTGGTATAATATAACTATTTCTAAAAGCTTGAGAACTTACAATTCTAAAAGCAATAGAAGAGCAGCAACCAAGGATGAAGCAAACGTAGAAATAGAAGCAGCAATTGAGGGATTGGAGCACCGGTGGCGTTTAAACTGATTTGCTACTTATTCCTGTAGGGGTTTCCAAGTACTATTTTTGCTATGTATTCCTATAGGGTTTTCCAAGTAATATTCGATCTTGGACTTATGAGAATTGGCGGAATATGAAGCGTAATTTTGGTGGGAAATTTTTTGGGAATTTTTTATAAGAAATTTTTAGGGTACGCTTGTAAAGGGTGGTATTTAGTATGATAATATAGCAACTGTCCAAAAACGTTGCAATATAATTTAAAAGCGTGGCCAAAAGATTTATATTTAGGCAACACTTAGAAAATGTTGCCTTTACAATTAAACGGAACGCTTTATAAGTGTTACCTTAAAATCCGCAGCCAAAGACTCTACTCAAAGGTCACGCCTAAAAAGTGTTCCTACATATACTTTTGGCAACACTTTTTAAGCGTTGCCTAAATTAGTGTGGTTGTAGGCTTAAAATGTTGTAGTGTCATCAAGTTCTTGCTAGTGTAGTTGTTCTACTACCCTTTGTAAAAAGACCATAACTTCTTGTAGAATGAAATATGGTTTAAAATATTTAAAATTAAACGGATAGACCTTTTATTATATAGATCATGCATCATATAACTCTTCATATATTGAGAGTTACGCTCCTTTGAAGTTGAATCTTGTTCAAATTCATTTAAAACACTAGGTCATTTAGTAGTTTTCAACTTAGCTTGGTTCTATAATTCTTCTTAGTCCCTAAATCACTTTGAATATACTTTCTACACTTATTGTCATATCGATGTGATTTTGTGCTAGTCCGTAGTCTCTTTTACCATGCAAAATACTACTACTAAAAGTCGTTGCTGCAATTTAAAATATTAGATCCGTACGAAATTTTGCAAGGCCTACAATAAAATTGGTAGTTTTGATTTATTTTTCGAATTTAAAGTGTTACGGAAAATAATACAAGTAGAAGATAATATTCTAATAGATATACTGAATCAAATAACAAGATTGATTCTATGCTAAATGCATATATATTCCTTATAGAATAATGTTCATATAACAGTTGTATCTGGGGAGTTTTTTTTTTCTCAATTGAAATTAATAAAATTTTATCTTGGATCAATAATGTCTTAGTAGAGTTTAAGTGGATTAGATATATTTTAAATTGAAAAAAATTATTAAAATAACTTGATTTTAAAACAACTATTAATATCTTTGCATCTCAATATCTTAGAAAAATAGATAGCAAAATTAAATATATATATATATATATAGAAAGTTTTTTTAAGAAAAAAATTAAGTCTTCTCATTAAACTTTGACTTTATGCCACTAACAATGTTGAGCAACCCTTTTAGAACTTAAACATGTGACTTATGTTAGGCAACTTTTACCTTTATGCTAAAACTCACCCTAGCGTTGATACTCCAATATAATGGGAAATGCTTAGGACACACATATGGGGTTTATAACTAATAGTATAAGTTAAATTTCCGTTACATTTGTCAAAATGTAAAAGGTAATTATTTACTCTTGTTAACTAACTAGTCCTTGAGTACGCACGTTGTATGTGTATTATTTGTCAATAATAATAATTTTAAAAAATACAGAAATAATATCCAAAACATGTGTTTGCGCCGTTATAAATTAACGCTTATTGGAAAACCGTAAGTTCCTAAAACTGGTAAACGTTAATCATTTTTAGGATTTTGGATAGAGATATTCTTACTTCAGTTTGTTCCGATACTTGCTTCATCATACAGAAGTATTCTATAAGCGGTATCTGATTGAAATGTAAAAAGATCTCTGAGCTTTGGGTCCATCTGGACGCATATATATTTCATGTTAATTATTATAAAATTTTTGTATGATATTTATTAAAAAATCATTTCCCATATGTTATTCAATTTATGAGAGTGTTGAAACTGGTACCTTTATCCTATAAATGCATTTGCATCACATAAAGCATCCAAATTCGACAAATACATACAATCAATCCTTAAAAATATTTAAGTTGATTGTATCTTATTCTACCTAAAAAATCCTTTCTAAATTTCTTCATCTATGCATGACGATTACATAATTACATTATTTCTTATTCCTATGTAGTGAGACAATTACATAAATACATCATTTCTTATTCCTATGTAGTAAACTAACAAATGGTGATTAACTGCAAAGAACAATCTAATTTTTATTAAAATCTATCCCTGATAACATGCATTTTGGTGTTTAAACTCACCATAATGTAATTATCATAACATAATTTGTTGTTCTTTTAAGAGAAATTTTCAGAAATCACTTTGTTTTAGTGATTATTAGCTTGCTATAGCTACCATTTACTAAATTACTTCATATAGCTATGTTTTCAGTTGTTATAGATTGTATTTGATGTATTTTTGCTACTGTATTCATGAATACAGTAGCAAAACTAGGCGAAAAACAAGGGAGTCCAGCTAAGCAGAGAATGTATTCGACTGTATTCGTGACTTGTATTCATGTATACAATAACAGAATTTGCGAAAAAAGGTCTTTATTTGTTTAAAATGGTATGTGAATCAATTAATGTGATAGACTCCTAATATAACTCAACTATAACCACCCGACCGGTCGTTTTAAGTTTTTGCGCTTTGCTCGCCAGTTCTCGGGCATGACTAGCCTCGTGTGATGTATTATGACTTATGTAAATCGTCGGTTTTGGTTTTCAGGGTAATCAAAATTAATTTGGAAGAACAGTTCTCAATTTGAAGCTTAAAATTTGGAAGGTT